CAAATGACGGAATGTTATTCGGACCCGTAGGTTGGGAATTAGAGCTGAATACGCCCAAAACTTAGTCGAAAAACGGCGTTTCGGGGGCAAAAATTTAAAATAGCCCCCAAACCGCCGTGTGGCTGACACGGGCAGCTTCCCCATGCCAAATAGGACGTGGGACAACTGACGGAATGTTATTTGGACCCATAGGTTAGGATTTAGAGCCGAATACGCCCTAAACTTAGTCCAAAAACAGCCTTTTGGGGGCAAAAATTGAAAGCAGACCCTGAACCGCCGTGTCGCCGAAACGAACAGCTTCCCCATGCCAAATAGGACTTATGACAACTGACGGAATGTTTTTCGGACCCGTAGGTTGGGATTTAGAGATGAATACGCCAAAACTTAGTCGAAAAACAACGTTTCAGGGGCGAAAATTCAAAACAGCCCTTGAACGGCCGTGTGGCCGACATGAACACCATCCCTATGCCAAATAGGACTTATGACAACTGACGGAATGTTATTCGGACCCGTAGGTTGAGATTTAGAGCCGAATACGCCCAAAACTTAGTCGAAAAACAGCCTTTCGGGGGTGAAAATTCAAAACAACCGTCGAACCACCGTGTCGCCGAAACGAACAGCTTCCCCATGCCAAATAGGACTTGTGACAACTAACGGAATGTTTTTCAGACCCGTAGGTTGGGATTTAGAGCCGAATACGTCCAAAACTTAGTCAAAAAATGGCCTTTCAGGGGCAAAAATTCAAAATAGCCCTTGAACCGCCGTGTGGCTGACACAAACGCCTTTCCTATGCCAAATAGGACTTGTGACAACTAACGAAATGTTATTCAGACCCGTAGGTTGGGATTTAGAGACGAATACGCCAAAACTTAGTCGAAAAACGGCCTTTCGGGGGCAAAAATTCAAAACAGCCCTTGAACCGTCGTGTGGCCGACACGAATACCTTCCCCATGCCAAATAGAACTTGTGACAACTGACGGAATGTTATTCGGACCCGTAGGTTGGGATTTAGAGACGAATATGTCCAAAACTTAGTTGAAAAACAGCGTTTCGGGGGCGAAAATTCAAAACAGCTCTTGAATCGCCTTGTGGCCGAAACGAATAGCTTCCCCATGCCAGATATGACTTGTGACAACTGACGGAATATTATTCGGACCCATAGGTTGGGATTTAGAGCCGAATACACCCAAAACTTAGTCGAAAAAAGGGCATTTTGGGGGCAAAAATTGAAAACAGCCTCCGAACCGCCGTGTGGATGACATGAACAGCTTCCCCATGCCAAATAGGACTTGTGACAACTGACGGAATGTTATTCGGACCCGTAGGTTGGGATTTAGAGATGAATACGCCCAAAACTTAGTCGAAAAAGGGCGTTTCAGGGGCAAAACTTCAAAACAGCCTTTGAACCGCCGTATGGCCGACACGAACAGCTTCCCCAAGCCAAATATGACTTGTGACAACTGACGAATATTATTCAGACTCGTAAGTTGGGATTTAGAGCCGAATACGCCCAAAACTTAGTCGAAAAAGGGCGTTTCGGGAGCGAAACTTCAAAACAACCCCCAAACCTCCGTCTGACTCTCACGAGCAGCTTCCCCATTACAAATAGGACTTATGACAACTGACGGAATGTATTGGAGATGTATAGTAATGGAAAATTATGGGAAAAATATTCAGAAACCAATATCAACTCAGTTTACGCCTTGTTTTAAACTTGCTAATTTTTTGAACGTACACACGTGTGTTATAATATTTAAGCTTTCATACAAGTATGAAACATGCTCATGGTGTTTCTAAGGCCATGCGCGTCATGAGATATCAAGTGTTCTTTCTTTGGTGAACCATTTATAGGTGTCTCAACATATATTTTTCCTTTTATGATTGAAATTTATTTTTGTTATTATTTTTATCACATGTTCTAATATCCTTTCTGAAATGGCATTGACATACAGTAATAAGCAGCGATGGTTTTATATCCAATCTAATGATTCAAGTGCCTTTTGCACACAAATAATGATGAAGTTGGTAAAAAGAATGCTTTCTATTCACATTGGGCTTTGATATTGGTTTAGCCATAGAATTTGAATACATGTTGCATACAAATAGAAGATTGTTACATTAGCTTTATGTTACTAATGAAAGATTTAGTAATGATTTTTCTGCATTTAACAATGTTCCTTATAACAAAAGACTTTAGAAAGACTGTAAAATGACTGATAATTGATTCATCATGGAAGGTTGTTTCTCACTTATTTTTATTTGTCACTTGTTGCCAAATTTATTCATAAAGTTGGGCATTTTTTGGTCCAATTCTAATGTTTTTTTTGTTTTTTTTAGATGACTTTGTTGCGTGAACTTCCAGAGATATTTTGGTGTACGGAGAAGAAATTATACTTTTGTATAGAAGTAATATAATACTTTTGTCATCTCGTCTTTTGTGCAGTTAACTATTGCTGATACAGAAAAATTTTGGCAGCGAACAGATAATTACTGGCATGGTAGATAGATCACCTTTTGTCGCCTCACAAATATATGATTTTTTGTCGTGGTACATAGATGTATTTTTGGCTTGGTACATACATTACCTTTTGTCGTGGTACAAATTACGATGGTAATTTGTACCATGCCAAATGGTCATTTCACATAGTATAGTAAATGTAATTTTTGTATATAGAGGGCTTTACTTTTTGTATGATTCTATATGTTGTATGGAATTATTATTTTAGTTTGGACAATAGTTGGTTTGTATGTACTTGGACAGTTAAAGTAATTTATTTTTTGTATACGGATGTAGATTGTGGAATGATTGATAGTTTATGTATCATTTTATTTATATACGTATTACAGGTTGCATGGAATATAGACAGGTTATAGACACATTATAATATTTGCAATAAAACATAATATCATGTTTTTGCCGACTAAACGTTTTGTAGTCAAAAAAAAAAAAGGAAAAAAAAAAAGTATTTGGCTACTAAAAGTTTTGTAGCCAAAAAAAAATCAAACATTTGGCTACTAAATTTTTTGTAAGCAAAAGAAAAACAACCATTTGGCTACTAAATGTTTTGTAACCAAAAGAAAATCAAACCTTTGGCTACTAAAAGTTTTGTAGCCAAAAGAAAATCAAACATTTGGTGACTAAAATATTTCGTAACTAAAAACAAAAGTTGAAGAATAAAAATACTTTTGGCTACTAAAACTTTAGTAGCAAAAAATGTGAGAGTTTAGGCGACTAAATTTTTAGTAGCCAAAAATATGAAAGTTTAAGCGACTAAATTTTTAGTAGCCAAAAAAGATAGACTTTAGGCGACTAAAATTTTAGTAGCCAAAACACTAGTATTTGATTTAGGCGACTAAAAAATTTAGTAGCTAAAAATTTTTCTGCGACTAAATCATTGGCTTTTGGCGACAAAAAAATTAGTCGGCAAAAATGTATTATTTAATTAATTTTCCAACCTATTGGCGACTAAATATTTAGTCGGCAAATGAATACATTTGGCAACTAAATTAAGTTTAGTCACCAATTAGCTTTCCCAACTACTCTTCGACTACTAATTTTCTGACCAAAAAATTTAGTCGCTAAAGGCTATAGGCGACTAAAAAAATGACTTTTGGCAACTAAAAATTTAGTCGCCAAAAGTGAAAATTCTTGTAATGAATTATGGCTTATTTTGAGGAGTATATTAAGAATTGACTTTTTAATTTTTTTTAAATATGTAAAAAAAATAAAAATAATAATCAGTGTATTTGGTTTGAGTTTTTTAGATTAAGTTTTTTGAAAATTGAGTTTTTTGGTTTTCGTGTTTTTTTATTTTTAGTGAATATTTTTAAAATTTTAAACTTTTTTTTTACTTTTTTAGATGCACCTTACTTATGTATCTAAAAAGAAAAAAAATTGTGAAAAAATATTTTAAAAAATTAATAAATGCATAAAAATACAAAAAAAAAATATTCTAAATTCTCGTATATTTTTTTTTTGTATTTTTGGTATTTAGTGAATTTTTAAAAGATTTTTTTACAATTTTTTTACTTTTTAGGTATATTTATATTAGGTTTGTCTAAAAAGTAAAAAAACAAAATTGCTTAAAATATTTAAAAAATTCAGTAAAAACAAAAAAAAAAAAACACAGAAAATAAGAAAGTGAAATTTTTTGAAAAGTGTTTTTGGAAAAATGGAACCAAGCATAATTTTTAAAAAAATAAAAAGTCAACTTTTAAACTTAGAGCATCTCTAATGACAAGCCACTGGAGCTGTTATTGCCATAATTTGGTAGCTGCAGCAAAGTAGCACTCCAATAGTAAGAAATAATAACTGCTAAATTTGAGAAATGCTAAAATTTGTGTCAAATTTGACACAAGTTTTGATAGTTGCTATTTGTGTCCATGAAGTGCAACAAAGCAACTGTTTCCTCCCTCGCTCCACATGGACCAATTTCTACTTTTTCCTCTGTGTGTTTGCTGAAATGGTCTGAGAAAATGAACAAAAATTTGAGGGACTAAAATAGTCTATAAACAAACCCATATCCAAACAACGCTGATAAAATTAAGAAGAAAATTAGTTAAGATTTGTTAAAATAGAGTAATGTTAGCCTCTGTTTGGCAAGTTGATTTTCAGGCTTTTTTTGGCTATTTTAGCCACAAAAAACAAAATAGGCTATTTTAGCCATAACAAACAAAACATCACATCCAACCTATGATCATTACATTCTTCTCTCACAAAAAAAATCAAAAAAGCCAAAAAGCCAAAAAGCCCTTCCCAAACCAAGCTTTTTAGCCCAGGCTAAAATAGCCAAAAAAGCCAAAAAACCAAAAAGCCAACCTACTTCCCAAACCAAGCCTTAGAAATTTTAAAAATCCTATCAAATATTTCACATATATCTCGTATAAGTCTTATATATGTGATAAATTTTTAATATCTACATTTTTTATTAAAATAACAAATGAGCATTAAAGCACTACAGTTATACTTGAATAATTTATTTACTATTTATTGCCGCAATGCTATAATAGCATTTGGGAAATGCTCTTGTCAAACGAGGCGTATGTCAAAATCAACAATTGGAGTTGCAGTTGGAACGAAGTAGCTATAGTTGCTACGGCGATAGCAATTCTCTCTATTGACCACCAAACAAGCAATACCCTCTCTTTCTTTTCTCTCTCTCCATTCTCATCCTCTGTCCTTTGCTCTAGGCTAAACCCTAAATCATACACACATATATTCTCACACACACACACACACACATATATATAAATTATTTGCATATACGCATACATATATCGGACGGTGGTCTCACCTCAGACATGGGCTGCTCCTCCTCTGTTCCAGGTAATACCTACCTACCCTCCATCCCCTTATAGGGTTTTACTGTTTTCAACAAATTGAATCGGAAAAATATATTCCGATCGTCATCACTTCTCGTCTATTTCTTTCCTATATGAGCTGAGAAAGATTGAATTGATGTTGAATTGCCATGAATTGCTTCTTAATTGGGCGGTATTAGCTGGGTTTTGTTGATAATGTGAATTGTTGAATCAGTGACCCTTTTGGGGATTGCTTCTAAATTTGATTGATTGAGGGTTTTCTTTGCAGACAGGACTTCGGGCCGGTTGGCTGGGCCTAATTCGGAGAATGGTGGAGTGCCTGATGCAAAAAATTTACGAGTAAAGGTAAATTGCTTGTCTTTTTTAATAGAGTAATACTGTTATTTGCAAAAACTTCAAATTGGTACACAATTCTTAGTAGACATGTCTTGACCTGATGCGTTCGTGGCACCAACATATATAGAAATGTGCACATGTGGCAGAGAGATAAGAGTCCTTGGTCGAAAGAAGAGATGCATGAATGTAGGAAACTTAATGTGAGTTAGTTTAACGGTAGAGAGCTATTATAAATTAAAAAAATAACATCCTAGAAAGAATGCCAAATTTGCCTTCCACTTAAGTTAATAGGCAATATTTTCCTTACTTTGATTTGATGTTTAATGCATTAAGAGGGAATGATTAAAAAGCTTGCAAGGTGCAAAAGCTAATTAATGGTTTTTAAGTGTCGGATTTTTTTGAATGTCAACCCTTAAACTGCAGGACGAGACTGAACTGTCAAAAGTATTCAAAGTTTCCTCCATGTATCATAGACTTAAAGGAATGGAAATTCACTTATGTGAAAGATGATTTGATTGGAGTTTTGTGGAGTTTTTAGAATGGACCAATGCTTCTTTCATTTGCTTGATTTAAAAAAAAAAAAAAGAATTCTTTGAAGATTAGCAACTTTAGACCAATCAGTAGCTTACATCATTGTATAAAAATTTGGGAAAGTGTCAAAAAGGTTAAGGTTGTTTCAAGAACTATATCTCTTTAGCTCAATGGGGATATGTGGGATGCTATCAGATTTTGGATGACGCATTGGTAGCAAATGAAACAATTGAAGAATATAGAGACTCTGGTAAGGAGGCATTATTTAAAGTGAACTTTGAGAAAGTTTATGATTGCGTTGGCTGGGGCTTTTAGGATTTCGTGTTGCATAGAAAAGGATTTGTTGAGAAATGGAGAAGATGGATTCAAGGGTGCTTATCATCTTATAACATGTCGGTCATTGTAAATGGGAAGGTGGGGAAGAGTTTTAAGGTCTGTAGGGTTCTTAAGCAAGGTGATCCTTTGTCCTTGTTTCTCTTTCTTTTGATGGTTGATGTTTTGGGTTGGATGGTTGATAAGGCTAAGAAGGTCGGTCTTGTTGACGGTTTTATTGTAGGAAGGGATTATGTTTCTGTGGTGTCCAATTGAACATCTTCCATTTAAATATTTGGGGCTACCTGTGGAAATAATCCTAGAGACAAGTCTTTTTCGGCTCTAGTGTTAGAAAAAATTGGCAAGAGACTGGAGGATGGAAGTGGGTTACGTTTTCTAGAAGTGGGAGGTACACCTTAGAACAATATGTCTTGTGTAGCATTCCAATCCATTGTTCAAGATTCTGGTTGGGGTTGTAAATAAAATTGAGAAAATAATGAGGGATTTCTTGTGGGAAGGTCAGGATGAAGGGAAAAATAATCATTTGGTCAAATGGGAAGTGGTTTCTTCCTAAAAATAAAGGGATACTTGCCATTGAAAACATTGTGGCAAGGAACATTGCTTTGCTTGGAAAATGGTTTTGGAGATTCCCCTAATGATAGTAATTCTTTATGGCATTCCATTATTAAGAGTAAATATTGGTTTCACGTTAATGGAAGGGATTGTCTTGTGATTAATAGGAGCAATTGCTGACCTCCATGAAATCTGTCTTTTGTATCCTTCCTATTTTCTCTTCTTTTTTTATCCTTAAAGGTGGGAAATGGTAAGAGTGTACGCTTTCAGGAGAGGACACTTGGGTAGGGGATATTTCTGTAGATGTGTTGTTCGAACGTTTGTATCATTTGGTTCGTATCTGTAACGTCTCCATTGCATCTATGCAAGGTTCTCATTTGGCTCTAATTCAGTGTTACTAGAAAACACTAATATCCTAGTGAATTACGTTTTGGAATGCATGTTCTGAAACATGGTGCACTTTCATTCTAAAATAGTAAATTTAGTAATCTGAAGTGATTCCAAAAGTTTTTTTCAATGTATTTTCTTAACGGTTTCTTTGGGGTGGAAGCATTTGAGATTCCAGGCCTCTTTCATTGAGGTTGAAAGATGAGTATACACAGTCTACAAATGGATTAAACAATAGGGGTTTTGTATAGGATTTGACTAAACGTAAAAACTATGTAAGAAGTTTGAGAGCACTGTGCTCAATAAAAGCAACATTGTCTATTCTCTATAGTCACGATGAAGTAAAGCTCATAACGTTTTATCTAACATTTGCTGGCTATCATGATTAGCTGCAGTTTGTTTTCTATTGAGTTTGCCTTATTCTCTAACACTTCAGTTTTCAAACATTTCTTGCTTCTCTAAGGTCTTCTTACAAAATTTTGAGCCTAACCTTCTTTAGCAATGCATTTTGGAATTGAATCCCAGGTCACATGTTCATAAATACATAAATACATATAAATACATGTAAATGTATTCTTTTATTCACTTTAAATAAACTGCTAACATGGATGCCTTTGTCATGAGATGAATGAGGCAATAATAAATGTTGGTATTTAGAAAATTATTTGTTTAAAAACTGTGAAGAATTAAGATGGATGAGTTACAAAAATAAAATAAAAATGAAGCGATGCATTTTTTTTGTTTGCTTGTTTGTGTGTGTGTGTGTGTGTGTTTGTCCATGTGTGTGTATGAAGGATGAATTGTGCCCTTGCTTAGAGATTGACAATGTGAGTTGTTGCGAGAGTACTCATTCAAAAGATGAGTGAACTAAAAGAGTAACTGGTGGATGAGTGGCAATATTAGGAAAAAGAAAGGAAAGGAAAATTGGCGCATTTATGATTAAGCAAGAAGTGGCTCCAATGGAGAATGTATTGAGAGAGAGTTGTCTGGAGAATGTATTGAGAGAGAGTTGTCTTGGGTTGTATTACATAGACTCTTTTATTTCTTCCAAAGTATCATGTCAACCGAATATGACTAGGGTAAGGGCGTGGAATGTGTGTCTGACATCCATAATCAATTTAGTCACTTTTCCCTTAAATTTTTTTTTTTTTTTTTTTTTTTTTTTTTACAATGTTTAAAGAAGAATAAATTAACATTCGCTAGTAAAAAACATTTCTAACCTATTACGTGGATGAGAGATATTCCATAATTTCTTAAATCCTATTTAATTCCTACATAATTTACAATATCTTTTCTAAAAATATTATACGATATGCAATGTATATGTGTTCATGATTTGCCCATATACTAGTATAATATTATTTCAATATCTTAAGATTTAGGTTTATGAAAATCTGATGCTTGGACATGCACCCTACTTGATACTTGTAACCTAGTCCATGTAACATAAGGCTTGGGTGATTTGATTATGATCTGTCAAAATTGATATTGTTGGATGTAGGCCTATAAATGGATCGGATCCAGGCCGGATTTGATAGAATCTGATCTGATCCGATTACATGTCAATCCAAATCTGAATCCAATCGTCCAAATCCAATAATGAGCCACCCGAATTTGAATCTGCTCTGTACAGATACCTGATCCATAAATCCGATCCAATCTGATCCGTGTATTTTTTCTTCTTCAAATCACCATTCTTGCATGCCAAAACGCAATCAACAAAATCAAATTTACAAAATATCCTTTACTCGAAACATAAATATATATATATATATATTGAGGAGGGTAAAAAGAGTCTTCTTAAATCTCAATCAATCTCAGATTAGAAAGATCAAATCTTCAACCAACACAAACAGATTCTGAAAACAAACAACTCAAATACCCATTATTGGGAACACACAGAGGCGCGCGCACACACACACACACATATATATGTACCTATGACACTTGATCTGAGCTTGTTTTGCTTGGATTTGCTGATACAATGTTAAAAACCAATTTTGTGTCGTCGTCGAAGCCGGAGAAGAAGCCCTGTCGCCATTGCGAGAAAGGGAATACGCCATCACCGACAATCGATTGAGAGGTTTGATAGTTTGATTTTTTCAAGAAAAGAGATCGAGACGGTGAGTGTTCACTTGCGGTGGCTCAAGTGATGGTATTGGTGGTGGATGGTGAGGAAGAGATTGTGGGTGAGGTCAGATGGCAAGAGAGAAATCCCAGTGAGTGTTCTTCAGATCTTCTACTCTACTATTCCAGGTAAAACATTATAATCAGATCAGATAAACAATTGAATCAGATTGGATTTATCCAAATCCATACCGTTTAAAATCGGATTGTGCGGATTCGGATTAATCGGATCGGATTTGATATAAACGAATTGGATTATTCGGATTGGATTCGGGTGAAATCCGATCCGTTGACAGGCCTAGTTAGATGTTCAGAACCTATGAAGAAAAGAACATATGTTGAATGATAAGAAAATACGGGATATTATAATGTGTATTATATATCTAGATCATGTTGTTAAACTATCAATTATTATGTTGGTCTTTGGAGGTGGCTGAACCATTAGTCGGTTGTCTAAGGCCCACCAAAAAAATCTCAATAAATTCTTATTATCGAAGGTCCCAAATTTTCGTGGGAACAATATAATAAGGCCACATTTTAGTGTTTAACCTAAGGCCTCAAAAATCTTTGAGCCGCTATTGTTGGTCTTGATATTGTTGAAAGTTGAGGCAATAAAACCATTATATTGTATTTGCTGAGACAGATTATTATTCATACAAACTTATGAATAGTAATTATTTATTAAAAAAATCAGAAGTTAACAAATTTCAACAATGAAATAAGTAAACAAACAATGTAAATTCAAATAAAATGGTAAATAATGAAACAAGTGACATACCTGTTTTGCATCCCCTTACCAAAAACAAATGGAAAGTTAACATCTGCAAGTAGTTCAGTGTATTTTATTTTTGATAAGCAAAGATCCATTACCAAAACTCACTTAAAGTGGTGCGAACCATGTATGAAGAGCCAAAGACTGAAGAGTAAAATTCCACTGGCAAATACGAAAACTGCAGAAAAGACAATCGAGAAAAGACAATCCTCTCAAAAAGAAAAAGAAAAAAAAAAAAGAAGAGATAGCGAGTAGAAAAAGAAAATACTTTCAAAGCATAAATAGGCAGCTTTATATCTTGAAAATTCATTATACTATTGATGCAGAATATAAGAAGCTCAAGGAAGAGTAAATTCAAAGAAGCTGCGATATTTGGAAATTGGAATGGTTTCAAAGAGAAATTGATATACATAATCATGTTTCTAATATTATTATAGTTCTATTTTATGATTATTTTTATATTTCTAGGATTTTTAGGCGAGGCGTATTTTGGTAATTTTATACTTGCTGACATAGGTTGTATGGGTCACCTATGAGTCGTCTTGCGGGTGAAGTTATTTAATTAATCTTTATTTTTGCTTCTTATTTGGTCTTAAATTAATTATAGAAGTTAAAGATATTTTAATAGTTTCATTTTTTGGTTCTAGTTGGTTTAGGAAGTCTCCTAATCCTATATAAAGCAATGTAATAGTTTTCATTTAGTAGAGTTGATATTTAAAGAATTTTGAGAGTTTTGAAGTTTCTTTGTATTTGTGTGATGCCTATGGAATCTAGGTATGATGCCTACACCTATCTTCTTCTTTTCCTTTATTTCTTCCTTAAATTCCAGCACTTCCACAGCCTAATTACTGTTAACGGGTACTGTTCATAGCACCCAGAACAGCCCCTGTTTTGATCTCTTTCACCCAGTTTATTAATTCTAAACCTAGTTCATTCCATTCATCAAGTGAAATCCTAAAATTCCTATTAATTTTCAGTTTTAAGCAACCATAAAAACTCACAAAAAGTCAATTTTACAAGCCTTACAGCCCTGTCCCTAATCGTGTTACATCACCAACTAAAACAAAAAAAGAAAACTATTAAAATATTTTTTATTTCTAAAACTAATTTAAGGCCAAATAAGAAACAAAAATAAAGACTAATTAAATAACTTGACCCCACAAGATGATCCATAGGCAACCCATACAATCCATGTCAGCAAATATAAAATTATCAAAATTCCTCTCCCCTAAAAATCCTAAAAACATAAAAACAATCATAAAATAGAATTATAATAATATTAGAAACATGATTATGTATAGTTCCTGTCAATTTCTCTTTGAAAACATTCCAATTGCTAAATATCGCTGCTTCTTTGAATTTATTCTTCCTTGAGCTTCTTATATTCTGCATCAGTTGGTTTAGGAAGTTTCCTAGTCCCATATAAAGCCATGTAATACTTATAATTTAGTAGAGTTGATATTTTAAAGAATTTTGAGAGCTTTGAAAGTCTCTTTAGATTTGTGTGATGCAATCCTAAACCTAGGTGATGCTTATGGAATTTAGGTGTGATACCTATGAAATTTAGGTGTGATGCCTAGGCCTATCTTCTTCTTTTCCTTTATTTCTTCCTTTAATTTCAGCACTTCCACAGCCCCTAAATAGTGTCAAAATCCATTCTTTTCATGCTTAAACTCTTACACATTATTTAAACAAACCCTACCTGTCCCCTATACTCTTATTGCGATTTCAGTCATAAAATCCAATTAAAATCAGCCCCAAAGCCCAGATTTGCTGCTGTCCTATTCGTCTTGCATCAACTATGCTCTTTCCAAAATGTCCACATAACCCCCAAACGACTCCAAAAACTGGAAAAATTGAGCAAATTGAGCACCACAGCTTACTAATGACTGGGCAGTGAAGAAAAAGCTGATTGACACTCCCCCTCACCTGCTTACACATGCAAAATCAATCAATGATCGGTTTACATCTCATCCTAAAGTCATAGGTATTGAGGATAGCTTCGTAAGTTGTTCAAGCAAAAAATAAAATCTTAAGAGGAGTCTTGTTCCTTCAATGCCTCTCCAAGTGCTAAAGATTTCGCTTCTGCTGGACAAATGGGAAGGAGCAGACCGAAAACACCCCTCTCCTAGAACCCATCCAAGCATTAAAGAATTCACCTCTGCTACTGAGATAATGGTAAAAGGAGCGGATTGAAAACACTCCTCTCCTAGAATCCCACCAAGTTATGCTATCTTGATCTCCTCGATAAATCACAAAATCATGAAGGAGCTGGAAGAAATTGTATCGGATTTTATAATCTTCTATAACCCTCTTTAACCTTGGATTCCACTCTAAACCACAATCAGAAAGCAACAAATAGTTCTAAACGGCTGCATAAAGATCTTGAAACACCTCTCTAAGAGGTGTAGGCCACACCATGGATCGAACCAAAACCTCACTCTCCTCTCCGTTACATACCACATAAAAATTTCTGTTAGCAAACTCATTCCACACCCTTATAATTGCTTTTCACAAACCCACCCCATAAGAACTAACAATGGTACCGGTGGGTTTGCGGAAAGGGATCACAAAGATCTCCACTAGACCCACCTCTTCCAACTATCATGTTTCCTCTCAAATGTCGCCACTAGACCATCTTGCACAACATGAGCTAAGGATGGCAATGAGGTGGGTTAATTGAATTACTCTCATAACTTGACACCGTGGCAAAAGGGGCCCATAGCCTTTACAAAGATTTTAATATCTTGTTAAATTTACTGTTCTACTCTTGGGTCGTGAAAGTTTAAAGATGCGACCCCCAAGTCCAAGTCTCATAAACCATTACATGGAAGTGATCCCAACAACTTATTTTGTATTCAATATAATTTCGCTACAATTGAAAGTCATCAATTAACACCCATCATTAGCTGTCCCTTTGCCGTTGCCCCTTGTTACTCCATGGGTATGCTTGCCTAAATTTTTGTGTTGTATTTGGGAAAAATTGGCCCAAGTTTATACAATTTTCAATTAAATTGTGGGTTTAATTGAATCAATCTAGGGCTTGGTTTGGTATTAAAGTATCTCCAATGGTTGTTGCTGAAATGGCAATGCCAAAATCAAATTTTGGCATGCTACAGTGCCAAAATATCATTAATTGACAATGTGACTGTAATGGTGCAAGTGATGTTTGTTTATTTTCTTCACAGAAAGTCAAATGTAATGTCATTTTTGGGCCCTATCATGAGAGAGAGAATTACTGCTAAATTGCCGTTATAGTACGGGTTTAGGTGGTAATTAACTGAGGTATACCAATGCTTTATAATATAAAGACCCTAGTACCCTTTATATGGTTTTGAGGTTAGCTACAGTGTTTGCTAAGTTTCTTTGTATCTAGTAGCTGGTGTTCTCTAGGTAAATTATCACTTCTTTTTTTTTTTAACTACCAAAAGTTTTTTGTTGGTGAAACATTCTTGGGATACTTTGTTGGTTAACTTGTTGCCCAAATCAAATACACTTTTGGTATCCAATTTTGTAAAACGATGTATCATGTATGATCTATTTTTCCCACTTATTTAGATATGAAACATAATAGGCCAGCTCCCATGCTTGCCTAATTTCAACTTATCCACGGGATCGTGAAACATCTCGCCTAAATCTTTGAAATATACTTATATCTTTCATGCTTCTCTTCAAACTGTTATTTTATCATGATGGGCAAGTCCAATTATTCTTTGAGCATCCTTCTGACTTGCACATAGTTATGTACTTTTTTGTATAAGTTATTGTGCACCGCCACCACCACCACAATGAATGGCTTTATTTAAAGAATAGAAGATTGAAAGACTGTATGGGCCTCTTATATTTGGGCTGTTTTGTGTTTATTTACATATACTAGATGTCAAACTTTATCCATGTGTTTGGGCCAAAATAATGTGATAATAAATAAACAAGCCAAACGAAGGCTTAGATAAATATAACCCAACCAGCCCAGTGTCTATATTACCGAACTAACTACCAGTTTTTGGTGTGCCCAAACCAAAATTCTGCAGCAAAAGTAACCCAAAAAAAAATACCAGCAAAAAAAATCAGATTCAGCAAAAATAAATAAATAAACAATCAGCATAAAGAAAAAAATAAGAAAACCATAATAGAAAGACCCCTCCTAGCCGAGTCCACGTATCCTTCATTTAGAGGTTTGATGAGTTCAACCCTTAGATGCACACCCATACCCGAGTCTGTGTAACATAGCTCTCAAATCACCATCTAACAAGCAAAGGCTTTGCTTGGCCTGTTTAAGATGATTTTTTACATTTAAGCAACCCGTGTTGTTTGTAGTGTGTAGGTTCACTTGGTTTGAGGTCTTAGTCCACTTTTAATCTTTGTACATGTGGGTGCAAGGGGGGTGAGGATTATGAGTGTCATTAGAGATAAAGCATACAGTACAGGATTTAGTATATAATTGATTTATCTTCTGCATTTCAATGTTGGGAACCTCTTTTTTTTTGTTGAATAGTGGCTGATCTTTATTTCATCATTGTCTGCAGTTGGGTGTTATCTAGGGGATCTGGTGTAGGGAAAAGCTGCATTGTTCTTCGCTTTGTTCGTGGTCAGTTTGACCCAACATCAAAGGTAAGGATAAGGATGCAACATTGCTCTACATTGGTTGGTAACAATCTTGTGCCTTTTCAGTTTTGATGTAAATTTTGGTCAATCATTTGCAATGTGAGTGTTTATCTTCTTTACTTAATATCCTAGAACCTAAGTTCATAATAGATTTGCTTACATTTATCACTTATTTTTATTATTTTCAATTTCAGGTAACGGTTGGAGCTTCTTTTTTGTCACAAACAATTGCCTTGCAAGATTCTACGACTGTTAAGTTCGAAATATGGGATACTGCCGGCCAAGAGAGGTATTGATGGCCTAAATAATTTTTTGTATTTTTTCCCCCTTTCATTTTCTTATTTTGGATGAGACAACTGTTTACATTATTTGTATTCCCATCATTGTTGCACAAAGCTTGTTTTGTGAGAGCTTATCAACTTGTGGAATTTGTCTTGTTCAGGTATGCAGCATTGGCTCCACTTTATTACCGAGGTGCTGCAGTTTCAGTTATTGTGTATGATATAACAAGTCCTGAATCATTCACCAAAGCACAATATTGGGTTAAGGTATGATTTGCATAGATTGGAAGAGCTGTAATCTCTTTTTTTATTTTGCTTTTTTAGTGTTGTACATTGTTTAATGGAAGGCTTTCTAATTTTCTTCATTCGTGATTTAGAGGGGAAATGGTTTGTTTGAGACAATGATAACAATGTCTTACCTGTAATTTAATCTGCCTTGAGCTATGTTACATGGACTCTTCAAAATAAATCAAATACCCGTGTCGGACACCCGACACTCGGACAAGGGTATGAGATATGTGTCGGATACGTGCTTCTCCAGAGCATTAAACATTGACTGCGATGAAAGATCTGACCTTACCCTAAAGTCAAAGATGTGTGAACCACAAAATCTATCTCAAAGTTACGCTTCTCTATAAATTGGTAGGGTATTCATTATTATTGATTTATTGTGTGTATTTTGCTTCTTGTGGCTTTCTACAGGAACTACAAAAACATGGGAGCCCTGACATAGTCATGGCTTTAGTTGGTAACAAAGCTGATCTTCAAGAGAAACGAGAAGTATCAGTTCAAGTGTGTACAGACTGGACATTACATCAGCGTTTCCTTTGTATTCACAAATTAAGAGTTAGTTTGCTGAAACATGATAATTTTTTATATTTTGTTTTCTGAAGGACGGAATTGACTATGCTGAGAAGAATGGGATGTTTTTTATCGAGACGTCTGCAAAGACAGCAGATAACATAAATCAGCTGTTTGAGGTATATATTCATAGCACTTAATATTTAGTTATCCGTTCTCTTTTGTAGCTAAAGAGAAAGGAAAATTTGTTACCTCTTTATTGAAAGCCGTCATATCTATAGTTAGCAGTAGTAAACATAATGATATTAAAATATAAAATAAAAAAAAAAGAAAACTATAATGTGCTGAGTTTAGCAATAAAAGTGGAGACTAATATAGTAGAACTTTACTGGGTCAATGAAATTGTTAACACAATATAAAATGGTCATAGCTTCTTGAGTACATTGTTTTAAGCAAAAATTAACATTATTTCTTACCTTACTTCTTGTGTCTTATGTTACAAAATTGCAATAGATTTAGGAAAATTACATCAGGTAAGAATCTACCAGGAAGATAAAAATTAATGACCATGCATTATTACCAGGGCTTCCCCAAGTGTGGCTTTGTCAAATTGTGTGGTGTATGTTTTAATCAGGACTTTCCATTCTAGCAGCTGCACCATTTTCTTTTTATCATGTTATTTCATATATCATATTGGTTGCAACTAGAAATGATCCTAGGTTATAGCAAGCTACAGTAATGTTCTTTAAAACCTTAGTGGAAGGTATTTTTGTGAACCTTAACTCATAAAAATCAAATACATATTGAATAAACACTGAATGCTTGTCCTGGTAGATGGGAACTCTTACAGTCAGTGTTGTTGAATACGTTCATGTTGTAGTGGTTTTTCAAGCCTTGGTGCCTTAACTTTCAACCTAACATTTAGAATTGGCAAGCTATTCGATAGGGTAGTTGACTGAATGTGGCGCAACCCCTGTTGGGCATTTTATACTGTGCATAAAGGTTTGGAGTAGTTATGCATTGCTAAATTGTAGTCTATTTGTATCCTTTCTCTATATAGATTGTATTTTTACTTACATATATGTTTTGATTAAGAGAAGGAACAGTCTGGCACAATTATCAAAACTCAGGCTACCAAGTGTAAGAACTCTAGTTGGGGTGCATAGAAATAGAGTTATGCCTGAAGCAGGGTTCAACCTGATGGCACGAGTATTGAATTTGGATTAACTCCAGTTGAAATTTCCTCATGCCAATCCTTGCAGGCAGGAAATGTTTTTAAGCAATTAGAATGTTCATTTTAGGGGAAATTACAAATCAGTGGTACTTTTCCAAAATAATTAGAGACTCGTGGAAAAGTTTATGACTTCAATCATTAAAGTTTGTAACGTTTACCATTAATCTGATTTATTTTTTATTTATTTTTTTATTTTTTCTAAACATCCACCGATTTGTTATTTCCCCTTCATTTTACCCAATGTTTTAACCAGGTTTGGTGAACCAAAAAAAGCACCAAATCAAGGTTAACTGGTTCAATAGTCAAGTCAATCTGAATTGAACCGTGACCATTGTTATGTATTATTTAGAAATTGAAAAAATAGAACCAATAAAGAAATATAAGAGATAAGTATTTCTATGTTTCTAACAACATGCATCTTTTCTTTTTTGAAAGTGATATAGCATCACAGAACTTTTTTCCTTTAGGGTAAATTATAAACACACCCCCTGAGGTTTACTTGAACTACAAATTACCTCATGTGGTTCTAGAAATTACATTATGCCCCCTAAGATTTCTAATTTCATAACAAATAGGTCATTTTATTAATAAATCATCAAGTTAATTAACAATTTTTAATAATGTTAAAATTTTATTTCAATTAATAATTCAGATAATTTTATTATTGTATTGGTAAACAGTTAGAAATTTAACTTTTTTAATTAATTCTGTTAAATAAAAAATTCTGACAATGAGGTATTTGTAATTTTTCAAACTACGGGTGGCAATTCGTGTTTTAAGCAAATCTCAGGAGATGTATTTGTAATTTACCCTTTTCTTTATTATCTTCTTGTTATAGTATAGCCTCATTATAGCAAATTGGAAAGATTTCTTCTTCAATTGTTTTCCCTAGTAAGAAACAAAAGGTCATTGCTATTCATGCAACAGATGTAATAAATATATATTTTCCATGTATGTCTATGTATTCTGGACAATTGGGCAGTCCTTTCATGGAGACATAACCTTGAGCAGCTTGTGTACAAAATACTTTGCACATTGTTAAACAGAACTTCTACTGGCATCACTAACTTTGGTTCCTACTAGTTAGTTATAGGATTTTAAAAGATGAGTGAACAGTTTAAATATCCACAAAATCATCTAAGTTTATATGAATTAAAATGTATCATGATATACTGAAATTAAGTTACCTATACAATTGAGATTGGAAATCTGCATTAAATTACAATCCTAAGGCCATTTGAATCACAATATATATATATATACACACATGGAGACACACTGAGCATAGGGCACAGAAGAAGCAAATAAAGGGTGGGCTTTTTACAAACAATAATACCATTCTCTTTTTTGTCTTGATCATATGCAAAAATGCTATAAAACTGGTCAATGTGCTATATATAGATAGAACAAAGGGGAATTACAAAAATGTTGTTGTGTCGGAAACATAGAGATGACCAATTAAGATTGGTTAGTGTGAGTTGAAGGGGAAAAACTAACCCCACAAAAACATTAGTGTTTTTATCAGTCCTTTGGTGAATAAAACTGGGATGGTTCATCCAACCCGTTAAACTGCCCGGTCCAAATGAATCTTATAAAATATCACCGTTTTTAGGAGGGAACAGTTTTGGGGTTCATACCAGACTGATGGCGGTTGAACCAACTGGTCCAGTCCTGTTTTAAAAATTGATCTTACCTACAGAATTGCTATGTATTCAACTTTTTGTGCTCTCTGTGCAACTTCTTTTTGACGCATCACTCGTGTATTTTTTTATGACTTGTTATTGCTATTGATTATGATGTTGCCTTTTGGAATGAAGTTTGATCATAAGATTATTTCAAGGTTGCGTTTTTGTTTTTTTTTTTTAATATGTTGGGTAGATATGCAGAACTTTGTTGTTATTATTATTGTAGAGTTCTCTGTAATTTTTGTCCATACAATGCAATGCATTACTAGGCAACTAGTTGGCTCCTTGAATTACTGTAGTATTTTCTTAATTATGTTCGGATTGTATTATCTTCATGCCTTCAGATGCACTTACTCCTGTGTTAGTTGGACCTTAATACTTCCTATCTCTTTCATTTTTATATTTTATTTTTTTATTTTTGAAGTCCTTTGATTTGTTTTGCAGGAAATTGCTAAGCGTTTGCCCCGTCCATCACCTTCATGATTGTAATTCTCTGATAATTAACATGGTAATTTCCCATACTAATGGTATTGAGTTGCTGTGTGTAATATTATGTGCATATCAACATAATCTACTCATTATGCTCTTTTCAATTTGATTTGATCATTCTAGTTTAAGCTGTAAGATCATGAACTGTGCTCAGCCATGTCTTTGACCTTGAGATCACAGTAAGATTCTTGTGGGATACATGATTTGCTCAATGTTGACAATAAATAACTTTCCACAATTCGTTGCCTCATGGAAATGTATTCCATTGTGCTCCATATGTCTTCTGAAACTGGCAACTTCAATGTATTCTGATATATTCCAATTTTTGTGCTGGGATTTTGAGCGACTCTGGAACAATTTTAGGTAGACATGCACACATTACATCAAGGAGTCCTTTGCATGGGGCAAAATTCTAAACTGTTAATTTTATCCCCTTTCTCTCCAAACCTCTCCTATTTAAAAAAGTGGATTTTTGGCTCAATTTTCTATCTGTTTCTCTCTTATTGTCTCCTTATTAAGTTACCCAACCAAGTGATTTTGGAAGAGAGGTTCATTTCTTTTGTTTTCATCTCTCTCCAAATCACTCAATCCAAATGGGTTGTTAGGGTTTTTCCTCTCTTTCATCCATGGAAATCATGTATGTCTCAGTTTTAAGTTACTGAATATTGATAGGTGAGTGGAGCCGTCAAAGGAGAAAAAGGATAGTATAGTGGGCTGCTGTGGACATTCGGTTTGGTAACGAGGTGGTATGTTATGTTCCCATGTGTTCCACATTGGTTAAAGTTTATTTGACCATTTGAATATAGGCTCTTCATTCTTTCTTTATCAAGTCGATTTTTAAGTCAGTATTTTTTTGAGGCAAGTGTTAGTGTTTTACCCAAGGAGTAATGTTTGTGTTTGGAGGGATACATCAATGGGTGTGCACAGGTCGAGTCGGCTTGGTTTTGCCAGTAATCTGTCACCCAACCCAACTAGATCGGATGGAAAAAAACTCACCCACTTCCAACCAAACTATGGTCTGAAACTGCGCAAATCGTGTTTATCAACTTGGCGGTTGGATCAGACGAAATCAAACCACTGACGACCAAAAGATAACAGAAAAAACTTAGTGTTCACCACCATCATCATCATAAAATTGCAGATCTGGCATTGGTTATTGTATTATTCCATCAAATCATCTCATCAAAAATCTTAAATAGATTTAAAGAAAATTAGATCTAAAAAAATTGAATACAAAATCATCTCACTTTAGTACCTATGTGTGGTATAATCATCTCATCAACCATAGAATTGGAAAAAAAAAATGCAAAGGAATGTTCATGTGGAAAGATAGAGATAATAACAAATATAGATTTGAAAAATTAAAAAAAAAATAAACGAGAGGAAAGGTTGAGAGAGATGGAAATGAGAGGGTGAGGGGGTGGGTGTGGGCATATGGATGTGAATGAGGGAGAGAGAGCAACAAGAAAAAAAAAAAAAAAAAAAAAGGGAAGATTGAGAAGACGGATTTGCGTTCTCTATGTTAGAGAACGAAATAGAGGGAGATGATGAGAGATGAGTTTGTCGGGTGCCTCTATTTGCACATCATATTTGATTTCAAGGTAAACCATTAATTGGTTATTTTTTATTACAATAATGACCTTACCTAAAATGACCAAAATGACCATAACTGAATACACACCTTAGTTAAATACACATCCAAACTCTAACCCTAACCCTAACCCTCATCAACCCTAACTCCAAATCATTGTCACTGCCATCGTTTCCATCGCCGGCTCCAATGTCGAAGTCCGAACCTTAACTTTAACCAGCGTCGACTATCCCTTTCTTCCGCCGCCACCCTCTCCCCAACCACTCTCCCTTTTCCCCCTGGTTTTTCTTCCTCCATAGCCTCCTCCCCTTTGCTCCGCAACCTGCTCGTCATCGGCTCATCCTTTCATCGCCCCCCTCTCTTTTTGTCGCAAAACCTTCTCCAACTCCCCTCCCCTCGACTCAAAACCCTAGTGTCTACTGCCACTACCACCACCTCTCAATCGCGATCTCTCTCTCTCGTGCGCGCGTGCGATATGTCTTTGTCTCTCTCTACGGTGGATGAAGGCTTGCGATGGAGGCAGAGATGGATTGTGATGGTAGATTTGGGCAACGGGGTTGATTGTGACGGCGACGGTGACGGCAGAGGTGAGGCTATTAGCAGTGGAGAGAGAGTAAGGTTGTTCGCAATAGTGGAAGTCATCGGTGGCTGGAGAAGAAAGTTGCAGTGGTTGTCGGAGGTTGGCGATAGTGAAGGAGAAGGGCGGTGAAATGGCTGGTGTCGATGGTGGTTGTCGGTGATAGCTGTTGCCGTCGGTGGTAAGTGTCTAACAGTTAATTTTTTTTTTTTTTTTTTTTGTGAATTTGAGGTGTATACTAAGTGATGTGGGACTAAGGGCAAAAATGGAATTTTGTGGTATGTGTTGGGAAAAATTATGTTTTTTCAAATTAATAAAGGTATGAACTGAATGTAATATACAACAATCCGATCCATATATATTTATTTGTGTACCTTGTTATGCAATTTGTTTGGTAGATAATATGTATTTTTTTGGATAAATATTGCTTAATCTTGTAGTAAAATTTATAGTTCAGAAATGAACTTATATTTTTTGTTGTAATTTTACACTCTTTTATAGAAATACTTTTTAACAACAAAATGTGTATTATTACAATAAAAATACGCCACATTACTATAAAAATGTGTAAATCTATTTCTAAATCACAAATTGTTTTAATTTTATTAGAAAATTATGTAATATTTGTAACAAAAATACATAGTATATATCCTAAAAGGGTTTTGTTAAGGAGGGCACTAGTTAAAGATGTATTAAATGCTTTTAACCACCTCCGCTATTATAGAAAAGAGGACTAGCTATAATATTGTGTTTAGTTAAGAGATTTAAGAAGGAATTTGACCAAAAAAAATATATATATATATATATATATATATAGATGAAATATGAATAAAATATAATCATATTTCACTTAGTTTCACACACCTTTTTTGTTTCTCTTTTCAAATCTCTTTTTAAATCCCTCAACAAAACACAGTATAAATGTATTTTGCTAGAGACTAAAATGTCCTTTTCTTAAATTCCTTCTATTTGAACATTATATACTGTTCATAATAGAGTTTTTTTTTTTAAATATTTTTTTATTATAAAAAATAAATGCCTTTATTTTTAAACGACATTTTGTGATTTCTTTTAATTTTTACATACTCTTTATTTCTATAACAAATATAAAAAAAATTATATGCCCTTTTTTATTTTTTTTTAATTCATTTTCCTTACACTATAAATTATATGCCCTTTATTTTTTTTTTCAATCTTTAGATTCATTTTCCTTTCACCATATAATTTAATTATGATTGAAAATAAAGGATATTTAAAAAAAAAATTAAAAATAAGCCATGAAATGCCATTTAAAAATAAAGTTATTTATTTTTATGTTAAAAAATATTATAGAAAAAAACTCCATTATGAAAGTATATAATGTTAAAATAGAAGGAATTTGAGAAAAAGACAATTTGTATCTAGCAAAATATATTTATAGTCAATCCTCCTTTCTATGATGGTGGAGGTAGTTAAAAACATTTAATGCATCCTTAATAACTGTCATTAGGACACTTGTTAACAAAATTCATCATAAAATTCGTGCATACATGGTAGACAAAGGAATATCCAATCTTCTTTTTATTTTTTATTTTTTATTTTTTTTATGGCATTCAAGTGATCTTATTCTACTAAAGTTGATTCCCAATAAGAAACAAATATTAAATGGGTTTATCATCAGTTTATATATAATGTCCTCAAACATTATACTTATAATTAATTTTATAATAAAAAAGTAAATTTAATTTTGATTTTGATTTTTTATTTAAGGTAAGACTAAGGTTTTAAAAAGCGGTCACAATCGTTACGTAACTATTGTAGTGTAACTATTGTGGTGGTTACCGCCACTCATTACGGCCGCTATAGCGGTGTGGCGGAAATTCATATGTGTCACAGCCGTTTCGGTATTACGTAACAGCCATAGTGATACCATAACTGTCATAATGGTCTGTTACACACCGTTACAGCCTTGTACAATATTCTGAATAGCTTCCTTCCCAAAACAATCAAACAAAAGCTTACAAAAAAAAATATCTTATATGAATTTGTTTTCTTTATAATTTTCTTTTAAAATTTTTATTTCATTACATTAGCATGTAAAATAAAAAAATAAAAAAAAATTATAAACAGTGGTTATAGTTATTTTTATAATCATTTTATTTAATATTTAATTGTAAATATTTGTAGATATTTAAAATCAATTATTATTAAAGTCATTAACTATTGAAATAAAATGTAAAAAGCTCATTTTATAGTGATTTAAAAATATGAAATATATTGGATCATACTTAAAAAAAATTTAAAAATTTTTTTGATCAAAATCTATTTTAAATCCCAATAAATGTGATTCTGAAATATATATGTGTGGGTGTGTATCGATAAGTTTTTTTCAAATTGTGCAAAAAATTTTAAAAATAAAATCACGATTCTGGTTACCGCAACTGTTACGCTACAACATTTGCACACCGTAACCACAATCGCGCCATCGCAACCATTACAGTGACCGTAACAACTTTTTGAAACCTTGGATGAGACAATACATTTAAGACATGTCTGATTGGCATGATTAATAGTGAGGGGATTAAAAATCTATGAAATTAGTGTAAGATTAGTTATCTAATTGGATTAGTGAGATACATAATTTTCTATTGTCCACGCTTATTTTGCAATAGATATTGACGTGGGTAGGCCCATAAAGGCCATAATCCACTATGAACAACCCAAGCCTACCACTTAGTGGGGGTGTTCGTAGATTGGTTTTGTGTGGTTTACGGTTCAGTTTTGACCCGCCCGCATCTATGCGGTTTGGAAAAAAATCAACCCGCAACCGCCCGCAGTGCGGTTTGCGGTTTGCGGTTTGTGCGGATAGGGTTTGTAGATGTGCGGGCAGTTTGCGGTTTACACTTTTTTCTTTAAAAATTAATTTTTAAGTTTTTTTTTTCCCATCGAATTTAAGCATTAGATTCATTTTATATATTTGTGATCATTTGACAACAATTTTCTGATGAGTTTACAAATAAAAATTGAATATCACTAACATTTTTGCCATGAAAAAAATGTATATCAATGCATTAAAGGTTGTACTCAATTAGGATTGCCAGTTTAGTAA